CCGCCCCGCCGTTCGCCCGTCCGCCCGTCCGCCCGTCGGGAAGCAGAGGCAGCCGCGGCAGACACAGAATGTCGCTGGCGGAAGTAGCAGGCCGGGGCGGCCAGTTACCCGCAGGCCAGGTTTCCCGGAGGGGCGCTCGCGCTGGCCGGGCACTGGTGCACTCCCACGCGGCTGCCCTCGGACCTGCTAGCGTGGGTGGCTGGACAGGCCATTGCGGCCAGGAGGGACCAGACGCTTTGCTGGGAGGCCGCTTCCAGATGGCGCGAGCCGCCCCCACCGCTCAGGCGGAGCGTCCTGAGGGCGGGGTCACTAGGCGAGGGGGCTGGGGAAGTGGGTGCGCCCACTCGCTGGCCGGTGTCCGCGGCCCTGCCGGAGCTGGGTGGCCGGCGTGCAGGCGCCCCTCAGACCTCCGGCGCGGAGCTCCGGGCCGCGGCAGCAGGCCTAGCCGTGGGGGCCACTCGGGCTCCGGTAGAACCAGGCCTGGGAGCCCCTGCTGGCCAGGGGTTACTGCACGGCGGTCAGTCTGCCCGCAGCCTGCCGAGCCAGTTCGATCCCCGCGGGCCAGTGACCCCCAGGACCCAGCAGACCCCTCCTGCCTCCCCGCTGCTCTCCCAGCTGTGCATTTCAGTGGCTCCGCCTGTTCTGCACCCCGCTCCGTCTCTGGTGAACCCTGTCACCCCCACACCGCTGGCTTGCACCCCAGGTCTTGTGTGCACCAATAAGTAAATCTTTACAAATAATAAAGGACAGGATTATGAGGAAAAGGCAAGGAGAAGCTGGCACAGACGTGCGGGCAGAAAAAGCTGCCAGGGCGCCGGGCGGAGGGAAGGGCTGTGGCGGCACCTGGCCGCCCAGCGGAGTTTCAGAGACGCCTCGGCTCACGTCCTAAAAGGCCGCACACGCGCCTGCCAGAGCAAGAGCCGCTGGCGAGGTGGTTTCTGTCCTCAAGGAACTTGCAGACTGGGGCACAGTGGGACGCACAGAGGGGCTGCGGCGGGGGGAAACCGAGGTGAGCGCAGAATGCTCCAGAAGCACAGAGCAGGGCTCTCTCCTCTCGGGGCAGAAGAGCCGGGAAGACCTCTGCATGGACAGTGGCTGTAAACGGAGGTGGGGGGTGCGGGGGGCAGGTGATGGCTGGACAGGGAAGGGTCGTCCCGGTGGAAGGGCCGGTGGGGGCGGCTCAGAGGCTTGCGTTCCACAAACTTAAAAGACAGTCGAGGGACTGCGCGGGGCTGACGCAGTCCCCGGAGGACACTCGGGCTGAGCCCCAGGCCGCTGACGCTCCTGGGCGCAGCGAGGCCGCGTGAGCGCGGGGTCTGCGGGCGGCAACGAGAAGCAGCCTGACCCGAGAAGTGCAAAGGAGGTGCCGTCACCACGCCCCACGCGGCGAGACGCGGGCAGGGGTGGACGCACACGTCCGCTCGCGGCCTGGGCTCCCGCCGGCCCGGCCGATGGGACAGCGCAGGGCGAGTTGGCCCGGAGGGTTCAGGAGGGCAAAGCCTTGACCTGGGTGCCTGTGGGCACGGTTGGGGCGGGGGACTCCGGAGGTTGGAGGGGAGAGTCATCTGTGGGCAGCGGCGGGATGGACGGCGCAGAGCCCTGGCCGCCGGAGCTGGCCTCGCGGGGCGGCGCAGGGAAGGGCCCCGGCCGCGGGAGGCGGAGAGATGCTGTGGCTGGAGGCTGGGGCAGGACCAGCTCTGTGCTGCCAAGTGCTGTTCGCAGCCGGTGAAGTAAACATGGCGCCGACTCACCTGAGGGAGGCGGAACCCCAGGGAGAAATGTGCAGAGGATGGTTCGTTGGGGTTATGGCTTGGGCATGGGGTGTGTGGTGGGAGGCTGTGTCTGCGCCGGGTGTCTGCGCGGGGTGTCTGCGGGGTGTGTTCGGGTGTGGGGGTGCCTGAGGGGGAGGCCGTCTGGGTGGGTTGTCTGTATGAGGGGGGTGTTCACTTTCTATCCTTTTCAAGATTTTGGCAATAAGCATGTATTTGATAACTGGAGGAGATTTTAGTGCCAAAAACAATAAAACCACAGAATCCTTGTTAACTGCCTGGAAGGTGTCCGTTTGACCCGACAGGTAGTGGCCCTGTTGAGACCAGGAATTGTGGGGTTTAGGATCTCGCTTCTGGAGCAGGAGGGCCAGGGGTTAGCACCTGTGAGGGGCAGGAGAGCAGAGACAGCGAGGCCCCTGGAGAGGGGTGCCCGGCGGGTGGAGGAGGCAGGTGGGGGCCACGCAGGGGGCCACGCAGGGGGACGGGCCAGCCAGTGGCTCTGGCCTCGGCTCAGCCAAGCAGCGCCCGGCAAGGCTGGCGCCCATCCTGCTTGAGAGCCCTGAGGAGCGCCGGAGAGGGGGGCTGGGCCTGGGGCCAGCACCGTGCCTGACAGCGTCACTGTCCCCCGTGGGTGGGTGGAAGTTGCGGGGGGAGAGTTGCGGAGTTCGGGCCGAACCGGGGCTGAGGCGGGGTGTCGAGCGGGAGTGCGGCGGGCCGGCCAGACCCTGCCGGGGCAGGCGAGGCTCCGATTCCAGCCTGTGGGGCCGTGCCCGCCCAGGCGCTCAGAACCGGGGCCTCCAGGGGCTATGAGGGGCGCGGCCAGGATTCGGCCTGGCTGGGGCAGGAGTGGGGGAGCCGGGGAGGCCCTGAGAGGGTCAGGGCAGGTGAGTCCAAGCCAGGGAAGTGGCCGGGCCAGAGGCCGGGGCAGGGTGGGCACCAGGATCGAGGGTGCATGTCTGGGGGGGCCCTCCGCAACGATGTTGGTGTTCAGGAGCCTCAAGTTGGAAGTGGCCCCTGATGACAAGGCCAGCAGGGACAGGCGTGGGGCAGTCCAGCCGGGCGCTCCTTGCCACGGAGGAGGGGCGCGGAGTGGCTGGGCGCCGGGGGGCAGGGGGGCCGGCCAGACCTGCGGGGGCGACGCTCGGGGCGCCTGGAAATGCCGCCGGGGAGGGTGTTCGCGCCCCCAACTTTCTGAAACAGAAGGGGAAACCCCCCTGGGCTGTGCAGCGAGCGCTGTCGTGGGGAAACCGAGGCGTCATCTGCGAGGAGGCAGGGGAAATTCTGTGGGTGCCTGTGAGTCACAGGAGCCCGAGGTGGCAGCTCCGCCCCCAGGGCGCTGGCCGCCGCTGGACCAAGGAGCAGGTTTGATGTCCTTCCTTCCTCCTCCTCTCCTTTCCCTTCCTCCAGTTTTTGTTTGTTTCCCTTTCTTTTCTCCCTCATGTTTCCTCTTCCTTTTCTTTCTCTTTTTACTTTTCTTCCTTTTCTTGCTCACTGCTGTGCCCTCAGCTTCGGGAAGGGTGTCGGGGGGCTCCAGCCGCTGGTGGCCTCGGGGTTGCGTCTCAGGCTGTCACCACGGGGAGCCAAGTCCTATCCCGGCCAGGGCGCCCCGGGCCCAGCAGCCTCCTGCTCCCGCTGCCCCTCAGCAGTGTCTCAGTCCGTCCGCCTGCTCTACCCCCCGCTCTGTCTCTGGGGAGTCCTCTTACCCCCCACCCCTCTGCCCTGCACCCCAGTTCTTCTGTGCAGAAACAAATCAAATAAACCTTTTTTTAAAGAGAAGAATGAACTGTTTACTGCTTTCACGTCAGCTAAATCTATAAACATCCAGAGACAACGAAAGCGCGTGACTCGGCCCTGGCGGACAGCAGGCGGGCAGCGAGCGAAGGAACCTGCGCTCCCAGGATGTCACCGACGGGTGGCTCCGCGGACGGCTGGCCTGGGAGGCCTTTCCGTGAGCCCCACGACAGGCAGGGAAAGGCCACGCCCCCCATAACGCAGCGGCGCTGCCTGGCCGCAGGAAGAGGGGTGCGGGGTGCGGAAGGCGGCGCGTGGCCCTGCGGGGAACAGGGGGGTTTGGCACAAACAGGCGGGAGCGGAGGCGCCGTGTTTGCTGGACACGCCCTGGACCTTGCTCCCACGCGGACTGGGCTCGGCCGCTAGGACGGAGCACACACCTGAGCGCGTCGCCGTGAACCGCCTGGCGCGTTCACGTGGACAGAGGCCTGTGCGGGCTCTTCCCGCCGGCTGCCCACCCCGGCCCGGC